CTTCCGAGCAAGTGGGAAGAAACTGAAAGGAGAGGCTGGGGCCAAAGGCTGGGGGAAAGCATTTGCTCCTTCTCTGTTCAAGTCTCAGCTTCTGAGCATGGCACTGGGTGCTTGTCTGCCAGGGCCACTGGAGGCTTCCCCTTTTGTCTGGCCACACTTTTTTTTTTCCCTTATGAACATTTGGACCCTTGGCTTAGTTCTAGTGAGACGCCCTTTGAGTGACCCCTGGGTTTGTAAGGAGATCCATCCTCCTCTTTATCCTTTTGGTCTGCCTGTCTTTGAGCCTCTGGGTCTGGATTGATGAAAACTGCGGTGGCCACCTTAATCAGCTCACTGGCACCCTTCTCAGTAAAGCCCTCTAGGATTGTAATTTTTGGCAAATAGCTCTCTGAGCCTGTCCCACAAAGGGTGCACTGATCACCTGTTGCTTGCACCTGTGCATTTCTTCACTGACAAACTTGCACTGCGGCTGCAATGTTTGTATGGTGCCCCTCCTCCCCCGGGCACCTCTGGGCAGGGAGAGGGGCGGCAGTGGCGGGGGCCTGGACACTCAGCTCTGAGTCAGTTGGGCACATCTCTTTCGATCATTGCTGCCAGTTTCAAAGGGCAGAGGGGCCTTAGGCAGATGTGGGGCCCAGAGAAATGTTCAGGGCTATGGAGGGTGCGAGAGGGAGATGCCGGAGCAGCAGGAGGCTTATCTCGGCTCTGTTTGTCTGCAGATGTGCTCGGCTTAGGCTAGGGCTCAAGGCTGCCTCCGATTTCTTCTAACTCTTGGACACAGACAGTGTGTTTTATTCTCTTTTTTTTTCTTTTCTTTTAGACTCTCTCTGAGGGCCTCTTGACATCTATCTTTAGACCTTCTTCTTTGTTGGGGCCCCGTCCTAGGTCTGGATAACGGGCTGCATCAGATCAGGCATGGCCCAGGGTTTCTCCGTGTAGGAGGGAGTATGATTTTTCCAGCTTATGAGCTCAATGGTGGAGAAAGGCTGCCACACAAAACTGCCTTGTCTCCCTCAGGTGTTTCCCTCTGGTCATCATGGGCATGTCCTTTAGTCCCTTGCAGGGGCATCTGGAGAGTTCTCATCTGAGTTGTGGCTCTGGTCTCGGGACATATCTCGCACCTTCATCTTGGGAGGTGAAAGAGTCTTTGGTCCTAGGAAGCCTTTGGCTCTGAGGACATCATAGAGGAAGGAGTAGCCAGTATTGGGGGCCATCATTTGTTGCCTCTGAGGACAAGGGGCCTGACGGAACAGTCTGTTGTCCCAGTGGTTTTGGCAAAGTTGGGTAGAGTGGCACAAAGATCCTGGGTGCTCTTCTGGCTCATGGGGAAAACTGTTTCCTTCCTATCTTTCCTAGTCCGGTTTTCTGTTTAGCTGCTTTCCACTGGGTCTTAGAGACCACTATGCTCCTGGCTAACATCTGCTTGGACTGTCCATCTAGACAGGCTCTCAACCAAGGGGGATGTTTCTGTACTATCTCTTGACAGCAATCAATGTAAGAGAACTGGTTCAGGGGTTCCAACAACAATTAAAAGGACCTCAGCAATGACTCTCTCATCTAACGATCCTTCTGGTGGCCTGCCCACATCTTGGGTGGGCCACTCTAATTCACAGAGTATGCCACCTTTGTGGAGTGAGTCTCACCCCACAGTTACCAGGAAAACCTTCCTAAAGGTTTCTCACACACATGTCAGAAGGCTCAGTTTCCTTAGGTGCCTCCCATGGTCCACCCTGCATCGGTGTCGCACACTGAGAACAAGATTTGCTTCGTCCATCTCCAGCCACTCCCCTCGCAGGGACTTAGGGCCCTCTTAGCCTTGCGGGCCAGTAGGGTCAGTATCAACCCCAACCTGGAGCTTTCACCAAGACATTGGTTGGTGAAATTCTGCCATAGACTGTATGAGGGGCCACGGAACCGCAGATCAGGACTACGTACTCGCTTCGGCCCTCAGGTTGGGTCGGAACCCTTCCCTTTGTCCGTCTCATTCACACACTTTTACACAGACATGGCCAGGACAGGATTTCTCTACCGCCCAAATTCCAACAATTCCAAACCAAACAGAAAAGGGGGTCACGGTGTCCCCTCTGCTCGCTGACCCCGAACAGAGACTACTTGGGCGACTCCCCGGGTCCCTTTCAGCTCCAACCACTTTGAAGGGTACTCGGGACCCAACAGATGTTGATCAAGCCTCTCCTCCACCCGCTTAGGCCTCGAAGGGGAAGTCAGGTGGCTGCAAACCACATGGACCCGGGTCCTACCTGTTCAGCTGGGTGGTGCTATAAAACCCTAATTCTGGTTCCTGCTGCCTGTGGTTGTGCTCCGGGGTGGCAGCCCCAGGGCGCTGGGTGAGTGGATCCTCCTTCAGGTCAAGAGTGGCCTGCTGCGCCAAGGGGACCGCTGTCCCCCATCACCCCAGGGAAGCCGGTCCCTGGAGACAAGAGAGGCAGAATAGCCTTCCTTACCTCCTGGGTCCCATCTGGGTCGCCAAAAATGTTGTGGGGACAAAGGAGGCAAGGCACCGAAGACAGCAGGAAACAGTTTTATTTGGCTGCAGCCAGGTTCAGAGGGCACAGCTTTTGCTGAAATCAATTAATCCTCTGAACCCTGAGTTCAGGTAGTTTCAGAATTTTATACCCAGCATGTAAGGGGAGGGGCTCAGAAGTCCACAGTCTGCAGAAGTTCACATAAAAGCAGCTTTTTCTTTCACTGTTCTGGTCAAGTTAACCCTTCAAGGACAACCCCTGAGAAGGGGAGAGCTTCTTCTCCCCTTTCTTTCCTCCCCCTGCCAGCTGTTACCATGGAGTCCAGTTGGTAACTTATCTTAAAAATGTAGACATCTCTGTGAAGCCCAGCTCAAGGCCACAGGCCTTGTTTGCACATTTCTTCAAAGTACTATACTGGATACGTTTGTGAAAAACTAGTAAGGGGTGTCTAGCACCTGGAGTGCTGGTATCTTCTCAGCCAGTGGCCAAGTAAAACAAGGACGACACGAAAATAGGAAGTTTATCTATAGTGGACTCTTTTGCAGAGACTCTTTTGCTGACAGTTCTAAAATCTGGGTGAAGATTTCTGGAGAGGCCCAGTTAAGTTTTTTCTGTGGAGAAAGGGGGTGCCACTGCAATGTGATGCTCGTGTTATGAAGTAACTCAGCTTTCTCCCTGAGGTTCATCACTTTTCTGTGCAAAACACATGGAAATGTCAAGAGCTGGACGTTCCCCAGGCTCCGTGGCGTAGGGCAGGCCCACTCTGGCACCAGTGGACCCTAAGGGGGGTTTCTCATGAGTCCTGGAGGCTGGAGTTCTCACAGAAACAGAATAAAGGCCTAGGGAGCACCTCAGGTCCCCTTCTGGTTACGTGCTTGGCCGAGTCCTGGGACTTCTTTAGGCCTCAGTTCCCTTATCTGCGCATTTACATCATGACCGAATGAACCTCAAGGAGTGTCGAGGGGAGTGTTCAAGAACCGCCTCTGTGAGCCCTCTTGAATGTCAGCCCCACTCCAGTTCCCAGTGTAGGGCTTGGCACGAGTACTATTTGACAGAGATTTGCTCGGGCCGTGGGCCATGGGCCAGGCTGTTTTCCTGGTACCCACGTAGCTTGTTTTGTTAGGGATTATCCATGAATGCCTACCTGGTCCTGAGGAGGAAGGGGTGGTCTGGAGGTGCAGCCCAGGGCTGGGTCAGCATGGCCTGTGGTAAATGCTAACGAGAAGAGAAATGGCTGATCACCTGTGTGTTCCCACGCAGATCCACCCACTGGAGGAATCTCACCCAGTTGGACTCAGGATCCTGGGCAGGCTTTGGTTCCAAGTTTGGGGTCTGGCTTCCCTAACTAGCTGCCCTGAAAACCCAAGGGCAAACTCCGAGTTAATTAATAAGACGCCAGCCAAGGCACTCCTTCCCTTTGGAAAGTGGCTGTCACCCCACGTGCTCGTCGGTAATGGCCACCCCTCATCAAATATTTATCCCAGCACTCACGGTCCTCATCAGCCCCCAGCGTCTTCCAGGGACAGAATCTGATTATTAAACTGGTCATGAGTGAAGAGGCAGACTACAAAGTGCCTGGAACGGAGGAGGGGCGCATCAAAGTCCCACATCCTTCCTTAAAGGTCGCCTTCCAGAAGCTGAGGCCTCCTGCTGGGGACAGAACTGCAAGGAGCTGGCGGGCTGGCCTGCGTGTGCCTCCCAGACCCCAGCAGCTCCTCTCCTTATCCCCTCTCCGGTGGGGCAGAAGGTCGCTAGGCCCCAGCCCCCGGGCCAAGGGCCTGACTCCAAGCCTCGGGTTTATGAAAAGCAAATGGATGCCTTGCCCAGCTCAGAGACGACTCCTTTCACTTTGAAGGGCAGCCCTGGCATTTCACCAGTGCCCTCTTTGAAGCTTGACCTTTGCAAAACAGAAAGGAAAAGGAGGAAGGAACGGAAGTTGATTCAGAAGCCTTCCTGCGCAGACATCCTTTGCAGATACCCCGGGTTTGGTTCCAGGACACTGTAGCACAGTGGATTCTGCCATCACCTGAGTTATATGGACTTTTGGGTTTCCCAGTGCATATAAAATTCATGTTTACATTACTTTATTGTCTACTAGGCATTAGGTTTTAAAACTATGTACCTGCCTTAATTAAAAATACTTTATTGCTAAAAAAAATGCTAATGATCATTTGAACCCTTGGAAAAATGGCGCTGACAGACTTGCTCAGCACAGGGTTGTCACCAACCTTCAATGTGTAAAAACGCAGCACTATAAGTTTCAATAAAACAAAGCACAATAAAACGAGGTATGCCTGTACTGTGCCCAGAGCTTCTGAAGTCCCGCTGCGTGGCTTCACTCATTACGTGGGTGAAGAGCCTGTCAGGAAAGAAATCATGCCTGGTGCTTAATGGAACCCAGGGACCAATTAACCACACGGAGAGCCAGTGGGCTAAGCATTTCTCAAAGAAACAGGAGGGAACTTTTTAGTGCTGCCGTTTCCCCCTTCCCCCAAATAAAAGACAAATGCTATGCCAACGCCTTCAAGAGCGATCCTTTATTTCCTCCAAGTCCTCAAACTGACCATTTACCAACAGATGACTGATGTTCCAGGTCACAAACAATAGGTTTTCCTCTTTCAGCAAATCCTGGAGCCCTGAGAGGGCCACAGGTGGGGAGAAGAGGTGACATCAAAACCGACCCTCCACGCCCAGAAGCTGCACTGCGGCCTCCTGCACAGACTGATGGACGTGTGTGACCTCTCTCTGGGACAGTGTCCGTTCCATGTGGCGATAGGTGATGCGGTAACAGTGGCTGGTCCTGTTGGTCCTACAGAGGGAAGAGAATGCAGGTGGGTGAGTGACACGTGTCTGTGACTGCAGGAGCTGGGTTGCCTGCTAGGACCAGACCTCCCCAACTGCAGTGGGGACCTGCGCCCAGGCTCCAGGTACCACCCACATCTCATTAGGGAAATATCACTTCTCACTAATGACCTGCATCTTTTAAATGCTTTGGGATGAGGCTGATGGTTAGGGAGATATTAGCTAGAAAAATCAAGACTGCTGGTTCCTGTTGGACCAGATGCATAAGAGTCCCCTGGGAAGGAAGCTTTTGACAGATTTGATTTCCCGAGCTAAGCCCTAGAGAGTCTGATTCGGCAGCCAGGAGGGGGGACCTGCGTTTCTGGGCTTTTCCCAGGCTCCCCAAGTAATTCTGACAAGCAGCCAGGATTAGAAGTCAGAGCCAGCATGCCCCCACCTTTTCCACAGCATAGGGGATAGCCATGTTTGCAAGGCACACTACAATAATGGTGAGGCCAGAGGCAGGCTGAGGGGTGTCTCAGCACCCCCCTAGGCCAAAGACGATCATTCTAGATGGACCATGCATGTCACGTATGTGCCGGGTAGACAATGACCTTGGCCTCCTGCTTCAGCATGGTGAGCTGACTTGACCTTCGTGGGCGACTGGGTGATTCTGGAATGCGTGAAAGCCACATCAGTGGGGCCTGCTATTTGCACGACAGTTGTAGAGACACACCATGGTTCATCTCATCAAAAAGACCATGAGGCCAAGGCTGGCTGGCCTGATTTCTCCCCGAGCTGCCTCTCACTGGCTGTGGGCCAGGGGTCTGCAACCTTCCCTCTCTGGGCATCTACATTTCTCTCCTGTACATTGTGACTTCAGAGTCACAGGAATTCCTCTTTTCTAGTCCCTGCTATAGCACGGTCCACGGCAGGCCTTCTGCCTCTCTGGTAATGAGACTGAATCAACCAAGGGACCCCAGGCAGACGCCCTGGGGTGACACCGTCCAGTTCTGAGCCTGACCAGGCAGATGCCACGTGTTCTCTGGGTGGCTTTCACTCATGCCAGAGCCTTGAGCAGCAGGCTTCTGTGGGCTGGCCACCCTCCACCCCCATAGGAAGACCTGGCAGTCTCCATCTTCGCCACCTGAGCACACAGCCTTTGCCTCTGAGGGCCTCGTGATGCTTCCAGACTGTTCTCACTCCCGTTCACATCCCTCCCCTGTGTTAACGCCAGACTCCTGGCTGTCTTGGTCCTGACCCCTCCCCCCCCCTCCTCTTGCAGCATCTCCTGCCTCTGTCCCCTACCTGCGCTTGGTCATCTTGCTCTTTCTTCCTCCCACATACAGCCCCTTTCAGGAAGGACGACCTCCCAAGATGTAGGGGCCAGGTCTTTCTGAGATCCCTGCATTTCAGCCAGACACAGAGCCCCTGTTTGCAAGGAGCCACAGGAAGAAGTCACTGAGATGCTGTGAGAACACAGCTGCGGGGGAGGCCAGAGAGCACAGGCCACCGTCAGCCAGCTCAGCTGCCCGCTCCCCAGGAAGGAGAAAGGAACCTTGTCCCTCTCGCCTCTCTGTTCCTGCACAGCTCAGCCATGAGCAAGAGACTCAGGTGGACCATGAAAACCACAGACTCAAGGAGCCGATGGTGCCCGCAGCTCAGGCAACCAGAAGGAGGGGTGCCCTCAGCGCCCAGCCACCGGTGCCTGAGCAGGATCTTTTGGTTCTTCCAGACCCACAAGGCAGCATTTTTGAGCCTGAATGCTTCTCACTCTTTCACCTGCCCTGACTCCGACTCTCCCGCAACAACAGTGACCACAGCAGAAAAAACTGCTTACTTACCGGGCACTACCATAAGCCCTTCACCCCTGACCCTTCAGTTAAACACCACACCCTCCAGATAAACAGCATTATCCTCTGGGGGACAGCTGAGGCACAGAGATGAAAGTAACTGGTCCCAGCACACACAGCTAGTAAGTGGCAGGGCTGGGTGCCATGCCAGGCAATCTGGTGGCATGTAAAACAGCACAAACTGCTGTGGGAAACTGTTTGGTGGGTCATCAAAAAGAATTATCACGTGGAATTATCATGTGGCCCAGTAACACCCAGGTAATTATACCCTAAGGAATTGAAAGCCGTTGTCTTAAGCAAAAATTTGCGGAAGAATTTTCATAGCAGCTCTGTCTACAATCACCCAAAGGTGGAAGTGTGCATTAAGAGATGAATATGGGCTGAGGTTGTGGCTCAGTGGAAGAGCACTTGCCTACCATGTGGGAGACCCTAGGATCGATCTTCAGCACCAAATAATAATAAGTAAAGGTACTGTGTTCATCTACAACTAAAGAATATTTTAAAAAGAGATGAATATATATAAACAAAATATGGTATATCCATACAAAGCAATATTATTTGGCCATAAAAAGGAATAAAATACTGATATAGGGAAGGAAACTAGATATATGGGTGAAGTTCAAAAACATGTCAAGATATAATATACCTCATATTGCATGATTCCATTTATATGGCGTGTCTAGACTAGGGAAAGCTACAGAGACAGAAAGCAGATTGGTGGCTGACAGGACCTGGGAGGAGGGGAAAATCGGGAGCAGCTGCTTAATGGGTACAAGGCTTTTTTTTTTTGGAGTGATGAAACTGTTTTGGAACTGAGAGATGTAATGGTCATGCAATTTGTAAATGTGCTAAATGGCATTGAATTATACTCTTTCAAAATGGCTAATTTTATGTTATGTGAATTTTTGTCTCAATATCATAAAAGCAGAAACCAAAATTGATTTCAGAGCCCGGCTATTAACCATCACAGCTACAAACACCTCTCTTTTCTTTCACACCTTAGATCTCTTCCTTATGGCTCAATGCTCTAGTTTGGATCCTAAATTTTCCCCAAAGTCTCAGGTGTTGAAGCTCTGTCCTCCTCCCTTGGTGCTGGTGGGAGGTGGCCTAGCAGGAGGTCTTAGATCACTGTGGGCATGACATTGAAGGGGATAATAGGAACCAGCCCCTTCTTTTTTCTCTCTTTTACATGCAGCTATCAGGTAAATGAACCCCCTCTGCCTTCATGCCCCCTCCCCATGATGTGCTGCCACAGGCCCAAAGCAACCAAAGAAAATTGGTTACAGAGTAAAACCTCCAAAACTATAATAAACCTTTCAACTTTTTATGATGATTTACCTCAGACATTTTTTACAGCTGACTAACACACCAAGTTGTTCTAAGTAGTAACGAGGTTTGCAAACTGCTGGAAAGGCTAATTTTTTGGAATCACTCATGAAAGAGATGGATGAACTCCATGTTCTTTTTGGCTCAGCCTTTCAACTAACAGCAAGGACATTGGTGGAGATGAAGACAATTGGGATGTGCTTGGAGTGGGACACACAGGGAGCAGGGATGCTTTAATAAAGGTCTTTCCTGCCTATAGGGTCATTGAAAGGTGCGCTGGGAAACCTGGATGTTGACTTGGAAAATAAGAGGGCTGAGAGGGTAAGAAAACAAGGCTATAGCCCTGGAGACTGGGGTAGTGTAGTGCAGGCCCTGCACCTCAGGGCTGGGAAGCATGCAGCTGCTGTAGTCTACCTGCCAGACTCCAAGGGGCCCAAAGCTCCAAGATGAGAAACTCCCTGGAGGAGAATATCTGAGTTTTACAGGCAAATAAATATTCTCTTTTATGTGCATCACTGCTTCTACTCTTGGGAAAAATTAGTAAGATTTCCCATTACTAAGTTTGGGAGGTCAAATTCCATTATAATAAGATTGATGAGAGATTCTTAAATTTTTTTGTGCTAGAATTTCATTGCATTGGGATATTGGCTAAAATGAGTTGGTTGCTGGCTAGAGCTTGAATTTTTTATAGCGATTTTGGTGTAGAGTCTTAGGAGCGTCTGAGCTTCAAAGGGCTTCAATTATTACTAGTTCATTCAGGGATTCCTTCAGCCATTCAACAAACAAGAGGTTCGAGGCACTGCGCTGGAAAGAGGTAAGCACGTGAGGGGAATCCAGTATCTCTCTGGACCAATTCATGCCTGGAGGCCCAGAGGCCTAGAGGCCAGGGGAGGGTGGACAGTGAGAGGGGCCTTCCAGGTGCCTGGCTGTGCAGTCAGCCATGCCCCCCTCCACATACAGCCTCAAGCACTCTGAGATTCACTCTTCAGCAGATGAGTTTTCCTCTGGCACTTCCCATGGGCACTGGAATGCCGCTGTTTGCTTAGTACAGTGGGGAGCACTCAGGACCTGCAAGGAGAGTTTTGACCTCCCTGTGTGTTCAGGGATTTCTGCTAGTGAGGAGAACACAAGACACAGAGCCACGTGTACCCTCCCTTGGGGGCTTCTCGGTGAGCCCTGGTGCACTGCTGGGCCATGCCCTCACCTCTTCCACCTCCTCTGGCCTCCCATCAGCCCCCACTTCTGAGAGGCGCAGCCTGGCTCATGAGACAGAAACACGATTCAAACCTTTTCTGGAACTTTCTCTTGGATCCTGTTCCCTACTCTAAGGTGACTGCCAAGGTCCACCCAGCTCCACCACTCTGTGCAAGTCCAGCTTCTCAAGCAGAAACTTTAGGAGTCAGGGCTGCAGGGAGCCTCAAGTGGGCAACTGAGGAGCTGTCGGAGGGTGGCACAAAGCAGCAGGGGAGGATTCTGTGTTTTGCCATCTTCTCCTCCCTGGCACTAACTTTAGACTAAAGACAAGGATTTGTAGGTGCTGAGAACAGTCAAGTCTGGATCAGGAAAGGTCTGTCAATATTATCAATGTTTTAAATGGGTCCAGTAATCCTACTGGGTATATATCCAAAGGAAATGAAATCAGTATGTAGAATAGACCAGCACGCCCATGTGCATGCAGCCAAGGCAGGGAGAATCAATTTAAGGGCCCATCAATGGAAGAATGGTTAAAAAAAATTAGGTGTTTATACTTGTGTTCAAACACACACACACATACATACATACACACACACACACAGAAATACTATTTGGTCTTAAAAAAGATGAAATCCTGTCATTTGTGGTAACATGG